ATATATATATATATATATATATATATATATATATATATATATATATATATATATATATATATATATATATATATACATATATATATACATATATATATATAAACTAAAACATTCAACAGCACACACCCACAACTCACTTCAGAAACCAAAACATCCACCAGCACACACCTCGAATGAATCCAGCCCCTTCTCCACCGCCGCTTTCCAGTCCATTTGCTCAGGCACTTGTATACTATCCATTGTGTTTGATTTCCGCCGTGGTTGTGGGGTGGCTCCTCTCTTCACACCAGCTGTGGGAATGTCTTGCTCTGCGACTGTCTGCACCACAGCCCGCCACAGACTGTTTGTGTGCGCTCTTGTATGGGCGTGGTTGGTAGATAACTCGGACACGCGCTCCTCAACGGCTGATATTGCATTGTTGTACTCTGCACGTTTTGTATGGGTGTTAGTTTTTTAAGTAGGGTATTGGGTTTTAGGGTTTTGGGGGCTGGGAGTTGGTTTAGGGTTTAGTGAGTGCGTGCTTGTGTAATCTATGGACAAGTTCACATACCTGCATGTGTATAGGATACCTACTGACACACAGGCATGTGACATAGACATGTCAGATAGGCGTGTAGCATAGACAAATGTGTAATGAACCCACTCGTAGGTATACAATCGTAGGTATACAATCGTAGGTATGCAATCGTAGGTATACAATCGTAGATATACAATCGTAGGTATACAATCGTAGGTATACATTCATAGGTATACAATCGTGGGTATAGAATCGTAGATATGCAATCGTAGGTATAGAATCGTAGGTATGCAATCGTAGGTATACAATCGTAGATATACAATCGTAGGTATAGAATCGTAGGTATACATTCATAGGTATACAATCGTGGGTATAGAATCGTAGATATGCAATCGTAGGTATAGAATCGTAGGTATACAATCGTAGGTATACAATCGTAGGTATACAGTCGTAGGCATAGAATCGTAGGTATAGAATCGTAGGTATAGAATCGTAGGTATAGAATCGTAGGTATAGAATCGTAGGTATAGAATCGTAGGTATAGAATCGTAGGTATAGAATCGTAGGTATACATTCATAGGTATACATTCTTAGTTATAGAATCGTGGGTATAGAATCGTAGGTATACAATCGTGGGTATAGAATCGTAGGTATAGTATCGTAGGTATACAAACGTAGGCATAGAATCGTGGGTATAGAATCGTAGGTATAGAATCGTAGATATGCAATCGTAGGTATAGAATCGTAGGTATACAATCGTAGGTATACAATCGTAGGTATACAATCGTGGGTATACAATCGTAGGTATACAATCGTAGGTATACAATCGTAGGCATACAATCGTGGGTGTACAATCGTAGATATGCAATCGTAGGTATAGAATCGTAGGTATGCAATCGTAGGTATACAATCGTAGATATACAATCGTAGGTATACAAATCAACATGCCACACGCCAGCTATCCACCGCATGCAAGCTTGCGGCAGTTTTGTTTGGGCTTTGTTGTTGATCTGTCACAGATGAGCTTGAGTACTACTACGTATAACCTTACTGCTTAGGATAGCCTTGTTCATTTCATACACAACTTTGATATGATGTCAATCGCACAACAATCGTGGTGACTGCACATTTAACTGCTGCAGCTGTTGGTATGAGGTGCGACTGATGATGGAATGATACCAAATTGTAATAAACAATCACGTAACTGCTAAAAATATTTAGAAAACAGTTATACAATAGTATTAAACAAGTACATAACTGCTAAACATAACTATAAAACAAATATGCAATAGTATTAAACAATTACATAACTATAAAACAGGTATGCAATAGTATTAAACAAGTACATAACTGCTAAACAGTTATGCAATAGTACTAAACAATCACATATCTGTTATATAGTTGGGTAGTGCGAGATATTATCCTTAATACATGATACCTCTTTTGGTACAATGTGCGGTATATACACATCCTTAAATATGCAAGTTTCGAGAACACGGAGTCGATCAGGCGAACGTTTTCAGACCGTTAACTTTACCTACCACTGCATATGGCTCGGAGAGACGCATCCACCATGACTGCAGACGACACGGCCTGTGGGTTAACGTAAACGTCCAATACTGTCAGTGCTATGCTGCAATGCAGCGATGAAGCTGAACCTCTTCAGCCAGCCAAATGAACGTATACATAGCGTTTAAGGAAACGTTTACCGTGATCTATAAAAATTATTAGCAACCAAATACGCAAGGAATAATCTCCGTCATATGGGCATAACAACGAATTGAATCAAAGAAATTGCATGAATATTTTACAGAGATGGATATATATATAGAGATGGATATATATACACGATG